ACAACGCGCCAGTCACCAAAACCACAACCACCACCATCCATCGACAACACCACCATGACGGTCACAAGACAACACCACCACGACAGTCACAACCACAAATCGATACCCTAATTTCTCCAAGGCTGCATCACCTCGTCTGAGACGACGCACCGCCTGGAACATGGAGAAAGCACCATCTCACTACACCACAGCCACCACACATTTAGATCCAACACCACTGAAGCTCCGATTAACTTCTACCACTGCAAAAACGGCGCTGTTGCCGCGAGCTACGCCGCCCAAAACCGACGCACAATCATCACCTCAACCTTACCACCACTACCAATAAAACCACTGAATCGTTTTCGTGGCTGCAGCAACAGATCTCGCCAAGCCAACGCCGCCGATTACAGATTCCGATTGATAATGAAGGGAAGGGGGAGAGAGAGAGGACAGAGGCGAGAATGAATCGGTTTACGGGTGGGGTGGGTATATCAATTTAATTTTATTAGGGTTTGGGCTTTTGGTTAATAAAAATATTGATTAAAAAAAAATTCTAATTTTTGAATCGTTAAACTTGCCATCTGATTTTAGAATGTTGGATTTTTAATGTATGGTTTTGTGTAATTTCCACATGTTTATTCCTCTAGTTCCAACTGCCCAAAGGATATATATGTTTTCTTTTTAATTTCACCATTAATCCTTCAAAGGAAATTCGAACTTAGATCAATGATATGGTAAAGCTTATATCTTAGTACTTATGCAAAGCCTTGACCTCTTCAAAAAACATTTTTAATATATCTATTTCGTATTACGAACAGTTATTTTTTTATTATTATTATTTTTTTTTCCATTGACTGGCTTGTCATGGTGATACACGTTCTAATCTAACGATGACATAAAGTTGGTATTATAATCTTCATTTATAAGCTCATGTTTGCTAGAGATTATTTAAAACTTATTTTCAAACAAATATTATCTCAATAAAATAATTTTGTACGTAGATTTTTTTAATCACACGTACTTTCGAAAAATTCATTTTTCACAAAATATATTCTCAAAAAGTTCACATCAAACAAACTCTAAAAAAAACTACCAATAGTTTGGTACTGTAATTAAACAAAGTTAGATAAAAAAATATTGATAATTTTTGTCAAATATATAATACATTTTTAAATATATTTGATGCTATCTAGTTTAGCATACTTAAAATACCTTTGAAGTTTTCAATAATTGTTAGATTATAGGTCGTGAGTAGTCCATGAACTTTCTCCTTATCCACCATTTTATTGAAATGGGTTGGAGGCTGTGGTCTGATTTGAATTCAAATCTCAACCCCACATCTTCCCTTAACATGCCCTGCGCAAAAGAGAAGAAAATGAAGAGTGGATTAATTCGAATTGTCCTTCTAACAATCATGAAATTAATTTTGTCCATTATTCAACCATCTTATTTTTATCCGTATCGTAGTTACCATTTTGATTTACATTCGAAGTATCAAAATGGTAGAATTAGTAAAGGAAGTTCATAATGCTCACAAGACATTCCCATCATTTCAATTTTTTGGTGCATAATTCAGCCCATACACCACACAAAGGTTGTAGGCATTAAAATAAAATAAATAAATCAATAATTAATTAATTTCAATGCATATTTCAATATGTATTATTGGGTTGTACAAGACTTCACTAGGTCGCTTCTATGTTGAAATTTGTCCAAAATTTTCAGTTTAAAAAAAAGAAAAAAAAGAAAAAAAAAAGAGTTGACCAAGTTTGACTTGAATTCACAATGTCGAAAGACTATTCAAATTAGACTAATATATACTTTTGAAGTTCATACTTTTAAAACTGAAAGAAAATTTCGCTCCCAATCTACCCTATCTAAGTCTAAATATGGTGATAAAAAGTAAGTACTATCAATAAATGAAGAGGATAAAATAGGTCTTGAAGTGAAAACCACCGAACTGCAAAATGAAACCGAAATCGCATTTTGAAAACCATTGAATTAGTTTAGGTTTTGATATTATAATTGTACTTGGAAAGATATTTTAATTGTAAGTTAATATTTTATCTAATCGTTATAAAGGGTTTAGTTTGAAAATATGTTACAACAGTCCAAATTAAAACATTTACACCCCTACGATAACGTATACTAAAAATTCGAATTTAATCATGACTTCATGGCAAGTAAGCTTCATTGCTTAAATTGTTAAACATAAAAGTATTAATCATTATAGAAAGACTTGAGCTACTTCTTATAATAAAAATTGACATTTTAAGATGAAATTCCAAATTTTTGTATAAATACTTACATGTTTTGCTATGATTTTAAGAACGAACGAACGAATAACTTAGACATTATTTTCCAAAATCCCCCCACATTCACTTCTTGGAACATGATTGGAGCTTAAAATCGTAGATTTACTTTAAAGCAATGCTTTAGCCTCAAACTTGTTTGAATAATTTACTTTAAAAATAAAATAAAATAAGGTAAAAAAGTTGCTTTCGAAAAGTAAGTAACTTATAAGTAATTTATTAAACGCAAACTTTTTAGACATAGCAAAACACACATAATTTCTACACATGGCCATTAACAACCTTGAAACAAGGGAGCGCCCTAATCCTTTGCACGTAACTAATGACAATCATAAAAACCGTTAATAAAAACAGATGACAATACTAGAGCTTCTCATTTGGATTGTATTAAAAAAGTGTTACATTAGTAAAAACAGACATTATCTACAAAAATTCCTTTCCCGTGTAGTCTAAGCGAGACTCCTCCTAGTTGATGTAGCAAGAAAATAGCCATTGCGAATATGTTCGTCTAAATGTAAAGGCTTTGTCAGACTATCTAAGGCAGTAAGCACGATTTTTCCCCCCTTATTATTTCTGTCTTCTATTAAATAAATTCGAGTTATAGATGAAATTCATTGGATATAAAATTGTAACTTGAGAGTCTATTAATTAGACATTAATTCCAT